GGAAAAATGTCATGTTGGAGAATATCCTGAGGAAACAAAGAAAGATGAAGAGAATGCTGGTGATGGTGAGGAGTTTTTGAAATTGAATGAAACCTCCAAGCAAGTTGAAAATGGTGAAAGTCTTGATCAATCTGGCATGGCAAGCAAAGCCACTTTAAATGTATCAGAAAGTAAAATCTCAAAACCCTTAAAGGTAGAACCTTGTACCATGCATTCAAAGTTTCTTCATGTAAGGTGTTCTTATGGGGGTAGTTCTACAGAACTATTTATAAATGTTCCTCTTGTCTGTTAACAGACCAATGGAAATTCAAAGGATGGCAAACCATCAAAGGACAAATCTAGTCAGAGACGCATGGTTCCAGCTTCTTATGATCAAAGGCCTATGATGTCCCAGAGTCTTTCATTTCCAGCAAGAGGAGCTCAAGCTGATGGGTTGAAGAAGAGCATTGATGTATACCCAGGGAAAACTTGTGTTAAGCATGCCCAAGCAAAAGGCATGACAAGGCAGTCTGCTTCTCCCAATGGATCCCTTAGTTTGTTGTCCCGTTTAAGCAAGGCCAACAAGCATGCATCCCTTGCTCTGGATTCAAAGATGGCAAACGGAAATGGTAATGGAGGTTCTAGCAGGAGGGCTACTTTAGCATCTTTATCTAGCTTTCACCTGGCTGTGGTATGGTTCTTCCAATCATATTCCCTCCTCGTTCTTTGTGATTTTTAAAGTTCCTGTTCTTAATACTAACATTTTTGCATTTCTCAGCCTGCAAAATCTAGTTCTGCAAATGCAGGTGCCAAGTCTTATTCATCCAAAATTTCTCGGTAAGGCAGTCTTCATCCACCGCACAGAATTGTCAAATAAATGTTCTCTGTTGGTTCTAAAATTACTGGAGGACATTTGTTTACAAAAGAAGCATATCCTCTGTAGACTTGGGGATAGTGGGAAAGATTCACACTTATTCTGTTTTGGTAATATTTCTACCATGTTTGTATGATTGCAGATCAACAGAGCAAAACTCAGAATCTGCAATAACTACATTACCAAGCAAGGAGGAGGAGGATGATGCTCAGTCCACTACCTCGTATTGTTCTTACCTTGCATTAACAGTTGCTTGTATTCTTTTCTCATGGTTTTTACACTGGTATGTCTTTGTTCCTTTTGTGTTATCAATAGAAGTGCCACTCCTTGTGGAAGAAGAAGCAGCGGATCAGGATTCACCTTCAGGTTGGACGAACGTGCTGAAAAGAGAAAGGAGGTTGGCCATGTGCATTAGTTTCTTTACCACTTTGTTGATACCTTCCATTGAGTGTTTAACTAATTGTCTTATGATCTTTTCCACCAGTTCTTTTCAAAGCTGGAAGAAAAGATTCATGCTAAGGAAATAGAAAAAACTAACTTGCAGGCAAAATCAAAGGTTTCTATACTGACTTCTCTCTGTAGTTGAAACAGCTTTACGTTCTGAGTTTTTCATTCCAATACAAAAAGTTTTGTCATTTTTCAGTTCACTTGATTTGCTAGTTTCATGCATCATGCAGGAGAACCAGGAGGAAGAAATCAAGCAATTGAGAAAGACTTTGACATTTAAAGCTACACCGATGCCTAGTTTCTACAAAGAACCTCCTCCAAAACTTGAACTCAAGAAGGTAATTGATGTGTTTATTCATTCCCACAACTTCAAACGTATAGTACATGCCATTTTGGATTAAGATGTATACTAATGTCTTTGTGAATTATGCAAATTTCTTGGCTTTCTTCTATTCATCAATATTTTAATCTTGTGATATTATCTTCTGATTATTTTAGATTCCAACGACACGTGCAAGATCTCCAAAGCTTGGAAGGCACAAGAGCTCCACTGCAGCAACAAGCAATCCATCAGAAGGAGACTCTTCTTGTCCTAGTCCACATATGAACCGAGAACGAAATAATTCAACTAAGGGAACCAATACCAATAGTAATAAAGATGCTTCTGCTTCCAAAAAACTGGCAAAGAAATCCCAACCTCAACTTCTATCCAAGGAGATTACTAAAGCAGAAGAAAATCCCAAGAAGCCAAAACCAAAGAAGAAAGAGGTTGGAGAATCCACACAAGAAGCTTCCATTGGAAAACCTGAAGAAAACCAGAACAATCCTGTGAACATTCTCGGGTGTGAGGATGCAATATGTCCAGTGCCAGAGAACGCAATATGTCCTGTGCCAGAGATGAATCCTGCTCAAAATGATGGACCTATTTCAAGCTTACAGATCCCTGAGATTATGCCCCATGAAGTTGCGGTTTGAGTTTGAAGATGTGATTATTGGAGCCTTTGTGTTTTGTCTTCCCTTTTTTTTTCAGAAAATTCCATGCAGTTGTGAATATTGTTGTTGTTAAGTTGATTATGACATTTTTTATTTTTGGAGGGTTACCATACATAATACTGAAAGTTGCATAGCATCTACAGGTTCATTAATATATATGCAAGCATTTGGTAGAACTGATCTGTCTCTACTGAATATGTTGGCTATCTATGTTTCATCTGACCTTTCTGGACTACATCTCATGTTTTACACAAAGTAAAATTAACACTTAAATTGAAGCTATTCAGGATCTATCTTCTTCATTTTCGTTCCCAAGGCTGCTCAAACTCCTTGATGTTAATTCCAGCATCTTTAAGAAAATACTCAGCACTTGCCCCCAAGAGTTTGGTCAAGGCAAAGCTTGAATATACAGGAACCTTTTAACTAACAAAGGCATAACCTTTGCCAGCGTAACTTTTTTTTTCATTTTAGAAGTAGATATCTTGAATTCAAGTTGTGACATTAAAAATCAATAAAATCAAGAAAATTATTTAAGATTACAAAAGTAGGGTTACGGTCATCATATAAAATGTTAAGATTATTAATTTTTTTAAATTTTTTTCTTAAATAATATTTAAAAATATTATTTTGTTTATTAATTTTACTTTGTTAATTAATAATATCAATTTTTTTATTCTTAGTTATTTTTATTAATTAAATTAAATAAAATTAATATTTTTAAAAATAATATTTTATAATTCTTAATAGCATTAGGATTATAAATAATAACCATAACCACACCCCAAATTCATAGCATTGATGTTAACATTTTCGTTTTTTATCAAAAATTGATGCTGTAGTTTGAAGTTGACCCTGCCAATAATCTCATTCTTTTCCAGTTGTTCCATGCTAATATTTGTCCTTTTCTTTGAAAGCAGCTTCAATGATTAGCTTTTGGTTCCTATATGCGTTTCCTTATAGGCTAAGAATTGGCTGACTTTATAATTTGCACAGTACACATTGGACCCCAATTGTCATCTTTCCCTTCCTACCATTTTCCTTTTTCAAAAGGAAATGCACGTTCCCTTCCTACCATTTTCTTTTTTCAAAAGGAAATGCACGTTTTAAAGACCAATTGAACTTAGAAGAATTTTATACTAGAAGAACACATGATAGAAACCTGTACAGCCATGTTCTCCAAGTAAAACAAAACTGATTTCTGTTCTAGCAGAAAGAGAGAGGTATATATTAATTTAAAAACCATAATTTTAAATTAAGATAGATGATTTTTTTTTTGGTATTAACCTCTCGGTATCTGATAATCACATTGAATCCCGACTCATTAAGAATCAAGCCGCGTCAAACTCTATTAAGGGTGGAGTTCTCCCAATATCTGTCTTTCCATTCATAAAACTCGAACTCGAAATCTTATTTAAGTGAAACCAAGCTCCTCCACTCGGACCAATAAATCATTGGTAATTAAAATAGACGATGTTAACATTTTATATATCTAAAAGATTTATCAATACACGCTTAATATTTCAACCTAAACTAATCTCTTAATAAAGACTCTAAACACAACTTGAAACGTTATTATTTTGATACAAAATTCACCATACCAAATAGGCATTAAGTGCAATTCAGCCCCTCTAGTTTATCTGTTGTGGCATGTCAGCCCCTTTATTAAAAGGTAGTGCAAATCAAACTCTTTACTTAAGAAAACTCAAAAATAAACCCTTCTGTTAATAATGATGTCATTTTGTCTTGTTTTCTATTGCCTCGTTAGCCTTAATTAATAATGTGACATAAATTATATTATTTAAAATATTAAAAAAATTATATTATTTAATAATTAATTTTTTTAAACTTATAATATTATATATTAACTAATTTAATAATATAATTTATGTTACATCATTGATTTTAAATTTTTGTCCACCTTGTCATTACTCTTAAATATATTAGAATAAAAAAAAAAAGTCTCATGAATAATTTTTTGCTAGTTAGGTGGTTCTTTTTTAAGTCAATGCAATGCCATTGTCCAGTCATCATCATTTGTTAACGGGCTACAAAAAATCAAATGAAAAGATGATGTTTTCTAACATAATCCTTAACAAAAGTGGTGATATGCGGATTTCATGTAGTAGAAGTGATAATTTGCACTAGTTTAAAGTAGAGAGGTTGACATGCCACAATATTGTAAGTAAAAGGGCTGAATTGCACTTTCTAATTTCTATCTACCAAATAAGTTGAAATTTTTTTTTTTTTAATATAAGGATAGAACTCGAATCTTACACCTCTTATTATCAAAACATTAGTAGTTATTGGGTCACTAAAATTTTCTTTAATAAGTTGAAAAGTTTCAAAAATTGAAACTTTTAATCCTATAACTACATAACCACATTACATAGAGATTTGAGGGTATTCTTAGTGACCAAGAAAAGCATGAAAAAAAAATGCATTACAAGCCTTGAAAGATCTTACGTGGGGGATTTGAAAAATACGAAAGTATTATTCCCTTTGAAACTTGCACCAAATCACCAATAATTGATCATGCTTACTTTCCATTATTGCTTAGCGTAACAACAAAAGAAGCACCACCGACGGACTATGATGACATAACAACCTCAGGCCTCAGCCCCATCACTATTGAATATGATTGTAATCATCCAACCACCGCCACATTGACACCATCTTCATTTCAAGTTTCAACACCTACGTATGTGCTTCCCAATGGCATTGCCATATAATTAATAAATGAAATTTTTTTTTGTGTACTTTTAAAATATAAGTTAAAAATGCAATTATTGTATAAATTTATTTAATTTATATTTTAAAAATATAAATTAAAAATATAATAAATATATTTTTTAATTAATTCACATAAAAATTTATTAAAATTAATATATATTTTAACATCATCGAGATATAAATGAATTTAATTAGTTAATTGATTAAATCAAAATTAATATTTATACTTTTAATAAAATTTAATTAAAAAAATATTTTACTACACCTTTAATTGTACCTTAAAAGTACAAAATAAAAAAAAAACCTTATTATATATTTTCACTATTAATTTACATTAAAAAAATTGACTTAACTTTTATTAACCATATAATCAAATCAAATGGTTACATATATGACATAAATGTTAAAAATAAAGGTTGCTTTCAAAATTTTCTATATAAATTACTAATAAAAAATTACATTTAATACACTTTTAAGCAATACATAAAATACAAATTAAAAAATACTTAATAAATAGATGAAAATTGTTAAATGAAATATCAATCCCGATATTAAAAGACTTGCCATCATCCAATCATTTAACTTATATAACATATTTAGTGTAATTTGATTTCCACAACACTTTGTTTTTATTTATTTTTAATTAATATACTGAAAGAATAGAAAAAAGTTCCATGTTTATTGATTCACCGGCAGTGAACAATGGGAGATGAAAAAATAGGTGTTTTTAAAGTAAACCAACATCATACACAAAATAATTTTAAAAAATTATGTGTTAATTACAGTGTTTATGTCCAAATAACAACAAACTCTTTCTCCAGCGACTGCTCCCTCCCTGTTGTATTTCTCAGACGGTCTTCCTAACAACCACAGGTGGTGAACATCATCAGCCTGAGCGAGCTAGGAGAATGGCATCTAAATTCTGAACAAGATCAAGAAGAAGGAAGAAGAAAGGAGCTTTCACCTTTGGTCTTCACATTCTCTTTACTTGTTTTTCATTTTTACCTCTTTGAGATTTTGCTTGTATATGTTCATTCATCATTCAGTGACATGAATGAAAATGCGAAACCTGTCCAAATGCTCCCAGCATTCTGCACGCTACTTCCAGCAACTTACCTGTATATATGAACATGAAAAAAAAATTAATTAAGTCAACTTAGAGACGTTAACCTGTCTGCATCACATGCTTAATCTCAAGTCTAAAATCAAGAAACAAGGCAATTAAGACGCATCAATTGAATAATGATTCAATTCAAAGGTAAAGCTCAGCACCAACTAAAAACCGTTGAACAGAATAAGGACAGCTAATAAGATATAGAGAACAAAGACATGCCCAATCATGCCAGCTTATAATATAAAGAAGAATACAATGGAGCTAATTAGAGGCAGGTTTTTTTGCTGGCATATTAAAGTTGTGGTGGGGTAGAAGAATATGGCTACCAGCTGGGCAGACCACCATTGATTATTTTAGGCACCTCTTAATCATATGGATTCGTCGGTAGCAAGGGAAATAGACATTAAAGAAATTGCACCTACATTTAGGTTAAGCAACCTTCCCCTATACCTCAATCTAACCACTATCTTAGTTTTCTCATTATACTATTTTATCACAGTTTCAAGTTGTATCAACTGTATGATATTCATTTTTTTGACCATCTTTGCAGAAGGCAAAACCAATTATCCATGGGGGAAAACACACTCTTCAACACAAATTCTCTACAATCACATAAATCACCACTTAATCAAATCATTTGCCAATGAGGACTGCAAGTATTGGCCTATTTGCTTGCAAATTTAAGTAGAAGTTTGGTAACTAACTATTCCATTCCCTACCATATGCTTCATATCATATGAAAATCATTTACAAAAGATACAAAAATCATGAATGCGTATTCTATGATTCAACCTACCCCACCACTAGAAACTCCCAAATAATTGACTAAAAACTAGCCAAAAAACAGCCTAATAGTGTATCCTAATACAATTAAATACAACACTTTACCAAACTCCCACATGGTAGTATGAAACAACCTTTGTTCTACATATTTTTGGACCAACAAATTCCTAACCTGGACAATAGCTCGATTGTTGTTTAGTACAAATTATTCACACTGAGATATGTAGATTTGCTAAACACAAGAAATTACTAGTTTGTGGCCTTGTTGCCGATCCAGTTAATATGGAAAAACCGACCACAAACAAACTATTGCTTCAAAATTTTCAAATTTTGTGTTAGCAAAGGATATGATATTCCCACATGAAATCTATAATTTCAGTTAGCTAAGAACACAAAAATCAGAAATTAACATAAGCAATGTAACGAAAGTAAATTAAGGAAATGGTAAGAAGTAAAAATGAAATATACCTCTCCGAGGTTTGGTGGCAACCTTGACGGCGGAGCTTGGTTTCTTCACGGTCTCTTCCTCCGGGAACAAAACCCCATCAATCCCCTGAACCGAAATTCGCCCATCTGTATAGATATCCGGGTCGAAGAGATACGCCGACCCTTCACCGTGGCCAAACTTAACCGACCCGTCAGCCTCCTGGGCCACCACCGTGTGCGGCAACCGCAGGGTGTCGTATTTCACTTTCCCAAATCTCCTCACCGCATTGTACATACTCTCTTCCGTCTGGTACTCCGGTATGATGTGGTAGTAAATTATCTGCTCCGGCGCCCCCGGCTCGCTCAATTGATCGGTGGTGAGTTTCGCCAT